CCCCCCCCCCCCCCCCCCATTAGCGGCACGGATCACATCTGGAAGCATTCAAGGCGTCCGTGCTGCTGGGAGGAAGCGCTGCGCCTGCGACGGGCCCCGTCTCCACCCCCCTCCACACCTTACGGTTCCGCCGTGTCACCTTCTGGACCTTAACAGAATCCTCCATCCCGCAGGTCGGTGCTTTGCCGCGCTTCCAGATCCGTCAGGTGACCCCTGGGTCGAGGAGACGCAACGTTCTGGGCGGAGTGCAGGCTGGGGCTCCAAATGTGGACGCCTCGCGGACCAGCGCCGCCAGGAATTCCGTCTCTGGCACAGGAAACGGGAGCGACGCCAAACGCTCGCCGAGCATGAATATTCATGCCGCTCGCCGCTAAAATAGCTCTGCGACTGGCCGCAAAAAGTCCCGAAAAACAAATGGACGTCAAACACAGCACTTAGGGAGAAGCTTGTTTACACTGAATGACAGTCAGGAGGCACAAAAATACCCTGGGCAGCCACAAACGGACACACACACACACTGCTTGGGTCAAACGCGGCCCGTCTGCTGCAGAGCCAGACCACCTTCCAGAGAAGTGCCTTGTATTTGCGTGACCCAGTCTGCTTGCTTGTTTGTGATTATTTTTGATTTACACTTAAGGGCCAAAACAACCGTGTCTGGCTGGACCGTGGTGCTCGGAAGCTACAGATGGCCGTGCGCAGGATTTATCTGGTTAGGTTTAACAATGATGGAACCTGCAGACGGGACCGATCCAACAGGCCAGGTGGCGATAGTGGGAACCACATCGTTTGGGGAACACATGAACGAATGCGAGTGAGTCGCTGTAGATGGGAGTGGGCGATGGGCATTAGGGACGTGGGGGGGGGGGGGGGATCTGAAAAACACAATTTTTTATGCAGCCCCATTCAGAAGATCTGTTTGTTATCAAACGTGGGCCACAAAAAGACTAGAGGGCAGGATACTGCTTTCCATGGGTTTACAGCTGCAAACAGAACAGCAGATAATGCAGTTCCAGAACATTCTGGACCACACAAACCATACGCAATGTACCCTCCTAAATGGGATTATGGTTACCTTAAAACA